AACATGGCACCTAGTAAATCGACACCCTGTCGGTTTCAAATTTCGATTTCTTACCTTAAAATGTGAAACAAAAAATTTAGAAGGGATCAGGTGTTACGTTAATAACCATTGTTTATAATCGCTAACTTAGTTTTATTCAAAACTGCACAAATCCCGCGTTTTCTGATGATATCCGACGATTTCATAAACGAAAATGGCCAGCAGCAAGAATCAAGGGGGATTCGCACAGAGTTCTGGGTAAATCAAGGAAATACTCGCTGTTACGGCACGCCTGATTGGCTGAAAATGAGTATGCGCACTAAAAGTTTATTTCAGCGTAATTTCTCGCGCCCTGCCGACTCATGAGTGCAAAAAAATGCTAAAAAAAAAATATTGTTATCTTCATTTTTTTCCGCCCGCCGCCTAACAAATCCAAGTTGCATTTTCATGGGAGCATAATGATCAAAGTACCGGAGTCTCGCGCGGATCTATACTTTATGCGCGTTGGTTGACAGTGAATCTCAGGTATTGACCGTGCTGCTTGAGATTACTAGGCGAATATGGCGGCGTGGTTTGTGGTAACACGCTGTGAAACTATGTCGTCAAAAACCGAGAAATCCCTTATTAATGCTGAAAATTGTGCCACAATTAGCGACATTGCCAACCAGGTTATACATGGAATAAAATTTTATTTCATTCCTTCTCTCCGATCAATGATCTCACTTACAATTCTTTGAGAATCACACAAATCTAATGAAAAAAAAGAATTATTTTTTTTTCCGCCCTCCTCAAAAAAATTGACTTATAATGACTCGAGAAACAAGGAATAAAAAAAGTCTGGCCTTACGGTTTTAAGGAAATAATCGCCTAAAAGCTTTGCCGTCTATGACGATATGATTACTGGTACGATCAGGTCATGGACTTGTGTACGGTAGCTGTGGGTGTACCTACCGTATAACGGAGTTGTTGGTCACCGCATCTGATTTCGTGGTCTATGGCAGTAAACACTAATACGGCCACTATCCCAGTTAAAAGCAAACATTTCCCTGTAATGAGGCAAGATAACACCACGAAGCGAAAGAACTCCATAGTGCATGGGCTCACTTCCGGGTTGTCGACGAGTTTTATTTGCAACACGTGACCGCATCCTCGTCAGCGATATATATTCGTTAGTGCTTCAACTTGTTTGCAAACAAACCAAATCAGTTTATGTTAGTCGCGAACATAGCACTCATAACGTAAGTTTCGGTTTATTCGCCATTGTATTTCACAATATACACGACAGCGGCGGCGGTACCGGGGGTGAGGCAGCCCCCTCCCGAAAAATGCTGAAACCCTTTGTGTCAGCAAAATTTGTCCTCAAAAAAGCAGGAAATAGAGTTTCAGAGGGTCTGGATTTCAAGTAGTAAGGTCGCTCCTTCGGCGCGAGGGGTGGTGAGCAGATTCGCTCACATGCAAAAATTCGTCCCGCCGCCTCTGCATCAGCAAGTTGATAGAGCAGTAGTTTAGGGGTGGACCATTATTTCTGGGGGGGGGGGTAATAATTATTGATTAAATTGGTCAAGAAAACCTCCACAGGGATTGTTGAAAAAACATTGCTGACAAAATCGGCTATTAAGAAAATACAGGAGTAATACAAAATCAATAATTTACAGATACAATCTTCGCCAGCCAAGGTTCGTTCAGACATTTGAAGTAATTGATAAAGACTTAATTAAAAATATATGGCATGCTCGAGATATGGATCTCATATAAACACATGTGGCGACTTTGACTGTAGAATGGAAGATGTCCGCGATTAGTTGAGATTACAAAAGATGATTTATTAAACAGCCATTAGACATAACATGACAGCCATCCTACATAAGGTTGAGTGACAGGTCAAGTCATGACCCGGAAGTTAACTGTGACCAAGGCTTATTTGCATATTAATACATATATTCTACATTGACTGTTGCGCAGATCAACGAGTACAAACTGAGACGTTACCAAGTTTTAATGGGGTATTTTTAGGTGATTGGAAGGCGTTGAATAAGTCACCGGCGGTATTTAGTGCAAGTGGCGCCCAGGTCAAACCTCATACTTGTTATTTCTATTAGAAAAGCGCATTGGATTGTGGGAAAATCAATATTTATCGACGCAAATGTCGCACATGCGCAGCGCGACGGCCACCGCCCTTTAAAAGTAGAGGTTCACTTGATCTACGTTTAACGCGCATGTCTACATCGTTCCAAGATATTATCAAGGGTTCAACTTAACCACACTATCCCACCCATGCTTTTACATTCGTTGTCACTTTACTGTGATCGAATCGAATTTATTGATTTAGATCACAGACATTCTATTATCATAGTCGTAGCCTTATCACCCAATCAGATTTGCGCATTTGGCGGTCGATATATTTCCATATTTACTTCTCAGCAGTCAAAGACGTCATATTGCCCCTGGATTCACCGTTGAGATTTGTCGAAGTTTACTCGGAAAATCACCTTTAATAGGTAGAACAACTATTACATTATCTGCTCAACAAGATATCATTACTTGGGACGAGTTATACTCTATGTGAATACTTGTAACCGGGAGATAACCATCAAACAACATGACTATATCGGTCGTTCCTATCATCGTCGCCGTACCGTGTACATATCTAGCGTCAAGCGTCATCCATAGCTCAGGCTATTGGGTATATTCATAACCATATACAAATGTAGCAGTAAAACAGACATCAATAACTGATTTTGAATAAAATAAATAATCTGCAAAGCATGCTGGGAAATGTTTATAATTGTTGTGACTACATAAATGTTAAAGCGGGAGGGTCGTCACCTGCGCACGCGCGAGAATTGAGT